GCTCCATCCCATGCCCACCCCGGCTGAGCTGCGCCTGGCCCTTGCCCCCTCCGCTCTCTCACCACAGGGAGCATTCATCTGCCCCTCTCCCCCATGCCCCTTCTCTCCTCTCTCCTCTTCCACCACATGGACTTACCCACTAGAGGCATCTGTATCAGAAATCGGATTGGTAAATATCGGGTATCAGTATTGGCCCCCAAAATCTTTATCGGTTCACCCCTATTTTTAAATGTTCATGCATCTACACACTGTGTGTGAAAATCTCTAGTTTCCTGGCTTGCAAAGTGAAATTCTAGTCTATAACACCACACTTAAAATACGAAAGAACAAAGGATAAAACAATAATTACATATGTAAACCATAAATTAAAGTATCTATAGTTCTACCATCAGAAAGACACTATCACATAAGGGTTAACACATAATAACTAGAATTAAACTGATCTACCGTAGTACAATGCAAGAATTTCTTAGGGCAATATACTTTACTGGACCAACTGCTGTGAATATGCTTTGCTAGCTTTTACTTGGACCTGAAGAACGTCTTGCAATCAAAAGCTTGTCTAACTCTATCCCAAGTATACAGTTGGTCCAATAAAAGTTAACACCCAAATAAACCTTTGCCTCTTGCATAAGTTCGGGATCATCACAGTTACAACACCACTCTTACACTACTTAAAAAAGAAAGCAATATATTTTATATATAGTTTCAGATAAGAAACTTTAAGGGTTTCTAATGACTCAGATTTTGACCCTTTTTAAAAAATGTCCTTGCTTTGAGAAGACAAAACACACAAAAAATAAACACAACAGGTCTTGGATTAGTACGAGAGAAAAGAAAAGCGAAATGTGGTCAGTTATACTGTATCTATTTGCTATCTGATTACCTGTTCAAATTATTTCCTTGAATCTCTCTATAAAAGCTGCACTATTCTCAAAGAGATTAAGATTTCATCTGCTGTTCATTTATTATTTTTCTATATAGAAATATTCAAGGAATCAGCAAACCTGCCAAGGTTACCATTACTTGGAATGGAAATCCTGGGCCTTATTCTACATTTTGTATCCTGTATTTGTACTGGGGGTTGGACTAGAAGACCATCAAGGTCTCTTTCAGCTCCATGATTCTAAAGCCACTTTACACACTGTGAAGTTTAAAATGATATTTAGCTTGAGAATACATTAACTTTATGTACACAGTAAAACCCTTTAACCAGTAGGTAGGGCAGTCTTAAAAGAGTTTAGTGTCAATGAAAGTCTGTGCCACTGTTCCCTGAAAAAACACATTTATCATCTTTTATAAATACTGAACTACACCAAAATAATCAGCAACATCATAAACATGAATACTGCATTTGTGAAGTTAAGTACAAAATCATAGAAAATTAGAATAGGAAGGAATCTCAGGAGCTCATCCCAACTCCCCATACAAAGTAGGACCAGCCCCAACTATATCATCCAGGCAGCATTTTGTCTAGTTGGGTCTTAAAAACCTCCAAGGATGGAGATTCCACCACCTCTCTAGGTAACTTGTTCCAGTGCTTTACTACCCCCCAATGAAAAAGTTTTTCCTAACGTAAACTTCCCTTCCCACAACTTGAGACCACTACTCCTTGTTCTGCCATTTGTCACCACCGAGAGCTTTAAAGAAACAACTACATTTTAAATTTAATAAAAAGATAATTGACTTACTCTTTCTAGCAACATTATCCTCTGTTTTTCTTCAGATATATGGATGTTTTCACTAAGGAAAAAAAAAAGAAAACAAGAAAATACATTGTATACAATAAGATCGATGCTTTTGAATGCAACTCATTTGTAAAATTTTCATTAAAATTGAGCCAAACTTTGGAATAGAGTATTTAATTTCTCTCTTACAATCTGAATTTGTAATAGTCATTTATCCAAAAAGAGCCTGTACCACTTTAAGGTTACAAAGGCAATCATATGACAAGTACATTACAAGTTTTTAGAATAAAAATTGTGTTGAAAAGTATTAATTTAATTCTGCTTGAGGAAACGAGCTCCTTTGAATTATTAGTTTAAAAAAATGTTTTTTTCACTGGAAGAACACATTTGAAATTGTTTTTACAAGAGTTGCATATAAAAATAATGATCATTCATTATCTACTTACTTAAATTCAAAGTAAATAATACAGAAAATGTGTTTAGGACAAAGTATTGGAGAAAAACTTCTTTAACCTGGTTTGTCAGCCTGACGGGAGACAGACTACAAAAAAAGGCCAATAAGTCCAGACTCAAGGCTAAAATTACACCCCATAATCCATTCTGTGCAACAATAGTGCAGAATTTCTAATATACTGGTAAGATACTCTTTGACAGAGAACTGATAAGACTACAATACTTAAACAAAGACAGAGTGTTAAAAGTAAAAATAAGCAGTTATGTAAATCAATATATACTGAAACTTTATTTGATGAATGCACTTCCTTCAATGAATTGCAAATTAGTTGGAACCACAGAAGTAGGGCCGGAAGGAACTGTACGAGGTCATGTAATCCAGCCCCCTCCCCTGCTCACGACAGGATCATCCCTATTTAAATCATGCTATAGATCCCCAGAGATTGGCAACATTTTCTGGTAGGAACCCTGAATGACCCAGATGAGGTCTAAAGTGTGTGGGCACTAGGACGCAAACATCTCCACTGCTTCTATCCCTACTGCCTCCTCCTGCTCTATTGGAGAGCTTTCCTTTGCTCACATCACCCAAATGTGGTGTGGTGCAGAGAATACTCCCTCTCTGCTGAAGCCCAGGTACCTGACTATGGCATGGTGCAAAAAGAACTCCTCCTCCACCAAAGTCCAGGGCACCTGACTACAGCATGGCATGGAGGCCCCCACCAAAAATGCCACCAGATTCAGCTTGCAGGCTGTATGTAATCCTTGCTCTAGCCTGATCCAAACAAAGTTGCATGAAAAACTGTACTTAAAGAGTTTTCTCTTTCTAGGCAAATTTTAACCAGAGACACAACAGCAGCCTACAGCAGGATAAGAGACGCAAAGAATATTATGAACAACAGGCTAGAACATTATGTAGAGAAGACTGAAGTATTTAATGCTTTTTTTACTTCACTCTTCATAAACAGGGGCAGCTACCAGATGACAAATGCAGTTGACAGGAAAGGTAGAGGAAACAGTCAACAGGTTGAAGATTACTTGAAAGCATCTAGTTTTTCTAAGTCAGCATGGCCAAATGTGATGCATCCTAGTAGACTACTGAAGGACCTGGCTACCTTCTCTGAGCACTTAGGGAGGTTGAATGAGGTCATTTAGGACTGGAGAAGGGCAAATATAGTGCCTGTTTATAAGAAAGCAGAGGATGATCCAGGAAATTACAGACCAGTCAGCCTGACCTCAATATCTGGGAAAATAAATGAGCAGGTCCTCAAGGAAAGAAGTTTTGACTACTAAAATGGAATTTAAACACACTCATTTATACATTAAAACATTTGACTGTAACAGAACAGCTATATTGCTTCTTAGATACTTACTGCACAGCCATCATACTAGTTTCCATGGTGGAATCCATCTTTCCTTCAGCTATAATCTCTGAAGCCAATCTGTCCGTTTCAGATGTAAGATCAGATGCACAGGCTCCACAAGTTTCTGATCCTGCAGGTAGATATGCTGATGGAATGAAGTTACTGCTTCTCAGTTTAGTAACTTCTTCTTCAAGTTTTTTCTTTTCTTCAAGTAAACGAGCCCGATCTTCAGAAAGTGTTTCAATCAAATCTAGATTACAGAAGCAAATGAAAATTCTTATTAGAAATAAAAGTTTAAAAAGTTCTGTATTAAATTTTTTTAAAAGGATATCCAATATATTTTGATAAAGTATTTTGCTTACCTTTATCCCTTTCTTGCTGTTGGGTTAGCATTTTTAACTTGTCACTAAGATCATTTATTATGTTTTCCTTTTTCATTTTTTCTCTGGTCAGAACTGTGTTAAAATTGGTCTGCAAAGACAACTAGTATTACAGAACTTACAAGGAGGACAATGTAAATGAAAACAAAACATGCAAGACAAACAACAACCTGTAATACAGTCCAAACTAAAGTAACAGACAAGGAAATAGATACAAATGCACTTTTTCCTCCTGAAGTATATTTGTTCCATAAAATGCTGTTTGCTTTGAGTTTGATTATGAAGATTTTTGGGCGAGAACTGTTTTTGTTTTTTCTGAAGGTGGTGTTTTTGTTAATAAAAAATTATTGCACAGAGGAGAAGGGGGAAAAGGGAGCATGGCCAACCTCAACCCAGCTCTGCAGGGGGCAGTGGCGTGGCCCAGCTGTACAAAGAAAAAGGGTCTTGGCTTGGCCCTGCAGGGGTAAGGGGGCACTGCTCATTCCAAAACCAGCCGGGGGGGG